TGGGCGTTTCCGCCACCATGGGGATCCCTCGTGTTTCCCTTTTCCCAGTTCCTCATCCTTGTCCTTAACCTCTGGCAACCACTCATTTATTCCCCATTGCTATAATTTCATCATTTCAAGAATGTTCTATAAATGGACTGACAAGGTATGCAACCTTTGAGAACTGGGTTTTTCACTCAGCGTAAGTATCTGGAGATTCATCCAGGTTGTTGGATGTATCAGTAGTGTGTTTCTTGTTATTGCTAAGTAGGATTGCGTTGTGTGGATTGACCCCAGTTTATTCATTTGTCCGTTGAAGGACAGGTGGCTTGTTACCCGTTTTGGGCTATTAAGAGTAAAGCTGCTATGGACATTCATGTACAGCATTTTTGTTGTTGAACATAAGCTTTAATTTCTGAGATAAATGCTCAGTCGTACAATTGCTGGGTAATATAGTAGTTGCATGTATACCTTTTAAAAAGTTGCTCAGCTGTTTTCCAGACTGATTGTATCATTTTACATTCCCACCAGTGGTGTGTGAGTGATCAGTTTCTCCATATCCTTGCCAGCATTTGGTGGTGGTGTTACCAAACGCAGTGGGTTCGCCGCCTGTACTCTCGTTAAGAATAACTAAGAGTCAGGCGGATTTAAAGCAAGGCATAGTTATTACTCACGGCGAGTAAGGAGACGAGGGATCCTCCCCTAAAGCACTCTCTCCCCAAAGGGCTGGGGAGGCAGTTTTGTACCACGTGGGAAAGGAGAAGTCATACATATCCCCTAACTTCATACATTTCAAGAACAGGTCGGGGTAGGATTTGGCACAGAAGTGGCTGACGGACTTCTCGCTTCTGAAATTCCCCTAGTTACGTGATGTTTCATTGTTTTAATTTGCATTTTTCCATAAGAGCTAAGCATCTTTTCATGTGCTTGTCAGCTTAAGTCTTCTACATGAAATGTCTGTTCATGTCTTGTTTCTATTTTCTAAATAGATTGTTTTTTACAGTTGAGTTTTTGAAAAAAATTTTTAGTATGGTAGACTATATGTAACAAACATTTGCCATTTCAGCCATTTTTGTGTGTATAATTCAGTAACAATCACGTTCTCCATCTTGTGCTGCCGCCATTTACTGCTGAGATTTGAGAGTCCTTTATATTTTCTACGCCTTTGTCGCATAAGTGGTTGCAAACATTTTATCCCAGTCTGTAGCTTGTTTTTTCATGCTCTTAACAAGGTCTTTTGCAGAGCAAAAGCTTTTAATTTTGATGAAGTTCAACTTATAGATTTTTCCTTTTATGGATTGTGCTTTTAATGTCGAATCTAATGACTCTTTGCCTACCCCTAGATTCCTGAAGATTTTCTCCTATGCGTTTTCCTAAAGGTCTTATAGTTTTACGTTTTCCATTTACGCCTGTGGTCCATTTTGAGTTAATTTTTACATAAAACGAGGTTTAGGTCTAGAGTAATATTTTTGTCTATGGATGTCCAGTTGCTCCAGCATCATTTGTTGAAAAGACTATCCTTCCTCCATTGAAATGCTTTTGTGCGTTTGTCAAAAATCAGTTGGGCATTTTTGTATGGGTCTATTTCTGGGTTCTCTAATCTGTTCCATTGACTTCTGTGCCTATCCCTCCACCAATACCACAGTCTTGATTACTGCAGCTGTATAGTAAGTCTTGGAGCCCTGGTGGCACAGTGGTTAAGAGCTTGGCTACTAACCAAAAGGCTGGCAGTTCAAATCCACCAGCTGCTCCTTGGAAGCCCTATGGGGCACTTCTACTCTGTCCTATGGGGTCACTATGGGTTGGAATCGACTCGATGGCAATGTTTTATATATATATTTATATATATATACACACACACACACACACACACATATATATATAGTAAGTCTTGAAATTAGGTAGCCTGATCCCTCGCACTTTATTTTTCTTCAGAATTGTTAGACTAAACATGTCTATACCTGCTATATTTACAAAAATCTTGATAGGAATTACATTAAACTTGTATATCAGTTTAGGGAAGATGGACAGCTTTAGTATGTTGAGTCTTCCAATCCATGAATACAGTGTGTCTCTCCATTTATTTAGATCCTTGATTTGTTTCATCAACATTTTATTTTTTACAGCATACAAATCCACATATTTTGTCTGATTAACATCTGTTTGATTTTTTTTTTTTTTAGCAATTGTAAATGGTACCGTACTTTAAATTTTGGTATCCACATTTTCGTTGCTAGTATATAGAAATTCAGTTGACATTTATATGTTTGTCTGTGTCCTGCAACCTTGCTTAACTTATTTGTTGTTCTAGGAGTATTTTGCGTTGTTGTTTGTTTTGAGGATTCCTGGGGGTTTTCTACATAGGCAGTCATCTGCAAAGAGGGACAGTTTTATTTCTTCTTTTCCAATCTGTATGCCTTTTACTTCCTTTCCTTGATGTATTGCATTGGCTAGAACTTCCAGCGTGATATTGAATAAGAGATTTTAGGGAGACAGCGGTCTTTCACCACTAATTGTAATGTGAGCTGTAGGTTTTTTGTAGTTGCTCTTTATCAAATTGAGGAAGTTCCCTCTTTCTGTTTTTCTGAGAACTTTATTATGATTGGGTGTTACCTTTTGTCAAATGCTTTTTCAGCATCAATTGATAGGTCTTGTGATTTTTCTTTAGCCTATTAATATGGTGGGTTACTTTGATTGGTTTTTGAATGTTGAAGCAACCTTGCATCCCCAGATTAGACTTCATTTGGTCATGGTGTATACTTATTTTTATACATTTATGAATTGTTTACTAATATAGCAATAATATTTTTACATCTATATTCATGATATTGGTCTGTAGTTTTCTATTTTTGTACTGTCTTTGTCTGATTTCAGTATCAGGATAATACTGGCTTTATAAAACAAATTGGGAGGTGTTCTTTAAGAGGGTGTATAGAATTGGTGTAATTCTTCTTTAGATGTTTGATAGAATTCCCCAATGAAACCATCTGGGCCTAGGAATGTATTTTTTGGGAGGTTTTAAATTATAAATTCAATTTCTTTAATAGTTCTAATGCCATTCAAATTATGTATTTCATGTTGGATGAGTTGTGGAAGTTTGTACTTTTCAAGGAATTGGTCCATTTCATCTAAGTTGTCAAATTTATTTGTGTAGAGTTGCACCCACCCAGCAGCTCTGTGGGAGAATGACCTGGCAATGTGCTTCCGTAAAGACTGCAGCCAAGATAACCCTATAGGGCAGTTCTACTCTGTCACTTGTCTGTGTGCGGGGGTGGGAGGGCGGGGTCACTGTGAGTCAGACGGCAGTCACCTCCACCTTCTGGTGCTGTAGTGATACTCCCTGCTTCATTCCTGAGATTGGTAATTACTATCTTTTTTTCCCTTTGTCTTGCTAGAAGTTTGTCAATTTTATCAGTCTTTTCAAAGAATCAACTGTTAGCTTCATTGATTTCTCTCTATTTTTTGTTTTCAATTTCATTGCTTTCTTCCCCTCTCCTTGGGCTTCATTCTCTTTCTATCCAATCTCATTCTACATACAGGCCTTCGGTTGGCTTTGAGCATCCCCCCAGTCCTCTCCCCCAATCCCTCAGGGATGCAGTTTTGATGATAAGAGCCAGTTTCAGGAATACAAAGTAGCAGGTGCTTGTAATACAGGCAGTCTCCAGGTTACAAACGAGATCAATTCCTAAGTCCCAACAGGTACATATGTTTCTTACATGGCGTCAGTTAGTCAAGTGTTTGTCTCAGTCTATAGTATATATTTTACCTTCCTGTGCATGTAAAACACTTAAGAAACACTTCCAAACCATGCAGTGTTTCCATGAGCGTCACGCAGTAGTGCGTGTTGTTATCACTAACCGCTGTATTTAACTCATGATGGCGGTCTGTTCTGAAGTACTAGTTGGGGACTCCCTGGAATCAAATCATATCCGGCCGTGCCCCTTGGAAGGAGATAAGCAGGTAGAGAGGCCTTGAACTGCCTTAGCGTTGCTAAAACACTTGTGATGGAGTTGATTCTCACTGATGGTGACTCCACGTGTGTCTGAGTAGAACTGTGCTCCATAGGGTTTGCAAAGGGCTGATTTTTTCATAAGTAGATTTTGGCCTTTCTTCCGAGGACCCTGGGGATGGACTCTAACCTCTAGCCTTTGTTAACTGTGTGCACCACCCAGAGACTCCTCAGTTATCAACCAAGTGCAAATGCCACCCACCCCTTAAGGCATTCCCTAACCAATCTAAAACACATTACCCTGTTTTGTTTTCTTCGTATCTCTATTTGAATTTGCCTTCTCCATTTATTTTTGTTTTGTGTGTCACTGACACTAGAATATAAGCTCCGTGAGAGCAGGACTCTGGATCTGTCGCTGTGTCACTGGGGCCTGGAAGAAAACTGCCTGGCTGAATGGCCTTCGGTAAGCATCTGTTGGAGGATGGCTGCTGGCTAGACAGTTTTGGGAGGGTCACTCTGGAAGCAGCCCATTGGCCTACCCCAGATGGGGGAATCCGAATCAGCCAGCACAAGGAAGCGCCAGCATTCTCCCGGACCTATGGATCCGGAAAACGAGAACACCGCCAACGGCCTCCCACTTCCTCCAGACCGGAAGTAGCTGGGAGGCATTTCCGGAAGTGGAGGCTGCTGGCTGCAGAAAGGACTGCTGGGATTGGGAGCTGTGGTGAGGGCGCTGCGGAGCGCGGCCCCGGTGGGGACCCTTTACTCCAGCCGTTCCCGACCCATCATCGTTTCCGACCCTTCCCTCTGGAATCTCGAGCCCCCAGGCGAGTGGACTGGGCGGCCCGCGCTCCCCTCCAGAGGCTTCTGTTTGAGAGTTACCCCGGTAACAGCCACTTCCGGGGGCGGGGCTCCGCGGATCCCGCTCCACAGGTGCCGGCGGGGTCAGCGGGCCTCACAGCGTACGATCGTTGCCCGTGGCGACAGCTACTTCCGGGAGTGGATTGCGGGTTTCCGCGCACCCTAGCTTCCCAACTCCGGGGTTCTGACCTAGAGCCGGCGGCCCGTCAGCCTCTGTTTTGAACTGTTTCCCCTGGCAGCCGCCACTTCCGGGAGCGAGTACCGTTTCCTCCTGCCCCGCGGACGCCGGAGCCCGGATTCCGGCCTTTAAGCGGCGGTTGCTAGATCGCCGCCGTTAGTCTCTGCGGGTAACTCGGCCGGTGGGCCGTGCACCCCGGCTCTTCCGCGGGGCCACCATGGTTCTGCTGCACGTGAAGCGCGGCGACGAGAGCCAGTTCCTGCTGCAGGCGCCCGGGAGCAGTGAGCTGGAAGAGCTCACTGTGCAGGTGACGCGAATCTACAACGGACGGCTCAAGGTGCAGCGCCTCTGCTCAGGTGCGGCCCGGGGGGACGCGCGGCTGCTGGGGGCTGCCCGGGGCCCAGACCCCTCTCCCCGAGGACGGTGCGAGTCTGGGCTGCCAGCGGCGGGACGATCGAGCCCGGCGGGGTGGGGGCCTGGACGGCGCCGCGCCGGGAGGGGTGAAGAAGTGGGGCGATCTGGGGCGGAGAAGGTTGGCTGGGGCGGGGTGCTGCGGTTGCAGCAGCTGGGGAAGTGAGACCCCGGGGGAACCAGAGACGAGTGAAGAGCCGGCCAACCGCTTGCGGACGCGCGTGGCACCCGGCTCCAGGTGGGCAGCAGGGGAGGCCAGGGTGCGCGTAAATGCCTCGGAGCCAAGCTTTGGGGTGCTGGTGAGTACGTGGTTGAAAGAACAGGGTAGAGAGGGACGTGGCCCTAGGAGGGAGCCGAAAGACTGGGCTGAAGGGCAGATGTAATGAATTAAACAAGTGCGAAGGGTGGAAGGATAACCCGGCGGACTTTTTAAAAGTGAATTTCACATTTTGAGACTTCTGAGCTTGAGCAGTTTCCGGTGGTGCCCGCGTCGCTGTGGGACGGCCCCTCGCAGGTGAGAAGACACTGAGACAGCCTTGGCGTTCTTTCTCCTTTTTCCTGAGGAGGAAGTGTGACTATTCGCGTGTGACGGGGTTTCAGGATCTCTCACCGCCCTGCTTACCCCCCGTGGAACTCTGGAGCAGCGCCGTGCACTAGAACTTTCCTCGTCTGTGGAAATGTACCCTGTTCGCTGTGCAATGCAGTGTCCACTAGCCACCTGTGGCCGTTGTGCATTTGAAATATGGCCGGTGAGACCGAGGAAGTGGATTTTAGTGTTAATTTTTCATTAGTTTAAATAGACAAGTGTGATTAGTAGCTGCTACACTGGACAGCAGAGTTCTAGAACTGGACGGGATGTACTCCAGGAATGGGCTGAGGTGTTGAGTGTTTCTATAACTCCGTGATTTTTGTTGCCTGGAGAACTCCATAAGGGCCGTGGTTTCTACCTTTAAGAAGCTATACATATAGTTTCATAATTTTACTTATTCCAAAACAAGCTCAATATTAGGTGTTGCATTAAAATTAAAGTCTTTGGGCAAAAAAGAGACCCAAACAGCTTCATCTCCTGTAAAATGATGGAGTAAAAATGTGCTGCATGTGAAGAGTCTTGGGGGCAGTGGTGGTTCAGTGGTAGAATTCTCGCTTCCTGGGCAGGAGAGCCGGGTTTGATTCCTGGCCAAGACCTCCTGCACGGCCACCACTCACCTATCAGTGGGGGCTTGTGTGTTGCTCTGATGCTGAACAGGTTTCCGCAGAGCTTCCAAACTAAGATGGACTAGGAAGAAAGGCCTGGCGATCTCCTTCTGAAAATCAACCAGTGAAAACCCTGTGGATCACAGTGGTCTGATCCACAACCGATGATTGGGAATGGCACAGGATCAGGCATCGTTTTGTTTCCTCGTGCATGGGGTCAGTCATGAATCCGGCCAACTCGCAGCAGGCGACAACGATAGTGAGCTTAGAACGCATTGATGTTTTACAGACGTTGAGGGAGGCCAGTGTCACCTGTGAGTAGGCAGGTGCCTGTGCTTCTCCTCGGAAAGACAAGGGTGAATGAGACCAGTCCCTTGCCCTCCGGGTGCTTACAGTCTGGTGGGTGGGAGACAGTGACCATTCCATGCAGCTGCACCATTTGTTCCACAGGATGATATTGCTAACTGTCTCCACAGTGTTAGGGGGACGCACAGATCCATGGGCTTCTTTCC